TTGATACAAAAAATTGTTTGACAAAATTCAACAACCATTCATGGTAAAAGAAACCAGAAAAGTAAAAATGAGGAAATTCCTCAACTTGATAAAAGCACCTAAAATAATACTACAGCTAACATACTTAGTGATGAAAAACTGAATGTTTTCCTCTACAACTGGGAACAAGCTAGGACATCCACTCTCACCATTCTTATTCAACACAGTGCTAGAAGTTCTAACCAATGCATTAAGGCAAGAAAAGGAAACAAGACGTGTAGATAGGAAAGGGGGAAATAAAAATGTCCTTATTTGCAAATGACATCATCATCTATGTAGAGAATCCCAAAGAAAATACAAAAGTCCCAAAGAATATATTTTTTAAAAAGTTCTTAGAACTAATTAGTAAATTCAGCAAGGTCACAGAATACACGATCAATACAAATTAGTTATATTTCTTTTTTTTTTTTTTTTTTGAGATGGAGTCTCGCTCTGTCACCCAGGTTGGAGTGCAGTGGTATGATCTCAGCTCACTGCAACCTCTGCCTCCCAGGTTCAAGCGATTCTTCTGTCTCAGCCTCCAAACTAGCTGGGACTACAGGTGTGTGCCACCGCACCTGGCTAATTTTTGTATTTTTCATAGAGATGGGGTTTGACTATATTGGCCAGGCTGGTCTTGAACTCCTGACCTTGTGATCTGCCCATCTCAGCCTCCCAAAGTGCTGGGATTACAGGCGTGAGCCACCGTGCCCAGCCCAAATCAGTTATATTTACTATACACTAGCAATTAACATATGGAAACTAAATTAGAAACATGCCATCTACAATTGCTGAACAAAATGGAAACCCTTTGGTGTATATCTGATAAAACATGTATAGGGCTTGTACACTGAAAACTACAAAATGCTGGTGAAAGGAAACACAGATCAAAAGAAACGGAGACAGATACCACTGTGGGTCTGACTGTATTCCCCACAAGGATATGCTAAAGTTGTAACCTCCAGGACCTGTGAATGTGATCTTTGGAAATAGGAACTTTGCAGATATAATCAAGTTTAGATGAGGGTGTACTGGAAGGATGGTTCCTTAATCCAATATGACTTTCGGCCTTATAAGAAGAGGAGAAGAGAAACAGAGACACACAGGGAGAGCACCATGTGACAACAAAGGCAGAGATTAGAGTGATGCAGCCACAATCCAAGTAATGACAAGGATTGCTGGCCACCACCAGAAGGTAGGAAGAGGCAAACAAGGATTCTACCTAAAGTCTCAGAGGGATCCTGAGACACGGCCTTGCCAATACTTTGACTTGGGACTTTTGGCCTCCAAAACTGTGAGAGAATAAATTTCTGTTGTTTTAACCCACTCAGTTTATAGTACTTTGTTACAACAGCTCTAGGAAACTGATACCCATACCATGTTCATGGATTGGAAGATTCAACATAGTTAAGAAGTCAGTTCTCCTCAAAATTCATATATAGGTTTAGCACAATTTATATCAAGATCCGAGAAAGATTATTTTTTATGAGTAAAGACATGATTATTCTAAAAGTTATGTGAAAAGGCAAAGGAACTAGAATATCTGCAATAGCTTTATTCTTTTGAAAAATAATGAAGTGAGAGGAATCAGTCTACCTGATCTCAAGACGTCTTATATAGATACAGTCATCAAGACCAAAGTGGATATACAGATGGCAAGTAAGCACATGAAAAGAAGTTCAATATTATTAGCCATTAGGAAGTGCAAATCAAAGCACAATAAGGTATCACTACACTCCAATTAGAAAGGCTAAAATAACAAATAGTGATAACACCAAACAGTGGCTAAGATGCAGAGAAATATCAGTCATTCCTACATTGCTGGTGTAAATGGTGCAGCCACTCTAGAGAACAGTTTTTGCATTTCCTTTTAAAACTAAACATGTTATTACTATATTATCCAGAAACTATACTTCTGAGCATTTATTCCAGAGAAATAAAAACATATGTTCACATAAATCCTGTAAAGAAATGTTTATAGCAGTTTTATCCACAATAGTGAAAAATAGAAAACAACGTACACGTCCTTCAGTGGGTAAATGGTTACACAAACTCTGATATATCCATATCATAGAGTACTACTCAGCAATCAAAAGGAAGAAACTCAGCAATTGAAAGGAAGAAACTATTAATACACACAACTTGGATGAATCTATAATTATTCTGAGTGAAAAAATGCAGTCTGAAAAGGTTACATACTGTATGATTCAATTTATAAAACAGTGAAGTGATAAAATTATAGAAACTGAGAATAGAGCTGGGCACCAGGGTGTACAACTCTAATCCCAGCTACTTGGGATTGAGGTTGAGGCAGTGGGATTGCTTGAGCCCGGGAGTTTGAGACCAGCCTGGGTAATGTAGCAAGACTCTATCTCAAAAAAAAAAAAAAAAAAAAAAAAAAAAACCCACATACAACTAGTGTTTATTATACTGGACAGATGTGGAGAATAGATTAGAGGTGCCAGGGGTTAAATATGGGGAGAGGATGGTGAGGAGAGAGCAGGAAATGGGTATGGCTATAAATGGGCAACATGAGGGATCTTGGTTTTGATGGATCTGTTCTGTATCTTGACTGTATCAGTTCAGTATCTGGGCTGTGATATTGTACTATAGTTTCATAAGATGTTATCAGTGGAGAAAACTGAGCAAAGGAAACATAAGATCTCTCTCTTCTTACAACTACATGTGAATCTACAATGATCTCAAAATAAAAAGTTTAATTATAGAAACATACTATCATTAACATAATGGCTACCATTTATTGATGATAAAGCACCTCTACTCAATACAAAGGAGGTAGGTACATACATAACTCGTTTAAACTTCACAACAGACCTACAAGGTGGATGTTCTTAGCCCATGTTAAGGATAAGGAGTTCGAGCGCATTGACCCACACCTGTAATCCCAGCACTTTGGGAGGCCGAGGTGGGAGGGTCAGATCGCATGAGCCCAAGAGTTTGAAACCAGCCTAGGCACCATAGTGGGACCCTGTGTCTACAAAAAAACAGTGTTTTAAAGCTGGGCGTGGTGGTTCATGTTTATGGTCCCAGCTACTCAGGAAGCTGAGATGAGAGGATCGCTTGAACCCAGGAGGCTGAGGCTACAGTGAGCCGTGATCATGCCATTACCCTCCAGCCCAGGCCACAGAATGAGACCACATCTAAAAAAAACAAACAAACAAAAAAAATGGGATAAAGAGAGACTCACTGACCCAGAAGTAGTGTGGATCTAGTGGCAGTAGAGTACGCTTTGGGAGGGTGAAATATGCAACCTGGCTGGACACCCAGTAAGCCTGAGTAGACAGAGAATGTCCATTTCCCCTTCTGCCCTTGACCTCCTTTGCTATTGGGTGTTCACCACACCTACTCTTGGAGTTGGCAGATAAGCATACCTGTTGACCACACTAAAGCATCTTTGGGTACCTGGTCCACATGAGTAGTGGACCTCTGAGTAATGGAGGGATCAAGTGACCACGGTCCTGTGGGTGAACAGATGAAGGCTCCCCTGGGAACACTTAGCTCTGCTGGCTTTGAGAGGCAGGAATCCCTTTTATGTCATGTGGAGGTTTGCTGCTTTTGTTCATCTCTTGCCATCTGGTGAAAGCAAAAAGTCCCGAAGAGGTGAAATGCTTTTCAAGCTTCAGGCAGCAGCAATCTATCACTTTCCAGGAGAACATGCCTGCAAATACATACAGCTACCGTTCCTCCCTGCCTGCCTCCCTCCCTCCCATGCCTCTATATCAGCTACTGTTCCTCCCTGCCTGCCTGCCTCCCTCCCATTCTTCCACATCATTTAATCTTCATGCAGCCCTGTGCACTTGATGTTATCATTATTCCCATTTTACAGAGGACAAAACGGAGGAATGGAAAGATTAGGCATTTTGCCCAGGATGCACAGAAAAGAGGTGGCTGTGGACTTTGAGTTCAGGTTTTCCTGACTCCAGATCCTGCTGATACTAATTTTCTGGTGCTGCTGTAACAAAAGAATATAAACTGGGTGGCTGAAACAACAGAAATTTATTCTCACACAGTTCTAGAGGCCAGAAATTCAATGTCAAGATGCCAGCAGGGTTGCCTTCTGGAGGCTCTGAAGGACAATCTGTTCCATGCCTCTCTCCCAGTCTCTGGTGGCTCCAGCAACCCTTGGCTTGTGTCTGCATCACTCCAATCTCTCCCTCCATCTTCATGTGACTTCCCTCTCCATGTGTCTCATTGGATTTAGGACTCACCTGAATCCAGGATGATTCGGACATTTGTCATTGGATTTAGGATATTTGTCATTGGATCTAGGACTCACCCGAATCCGGGATGATCTCATCTCGGGATCCTTACCTTAAATTATGTCTGCAAAGACCCTTAGTTTAAATAAGATCAGATTCAGAGGTCCTGGGTGGACGTCTTTTGTGGGACGCCGTTCAACCCACTACTGTGCTCCTAAGTCCACCCCAGCAGGCCATTCCGAAAATGCACACGTGGATTCTTTCTCTCTCCTTGTTTTTGAGCTGGTCTGGCATGAAGAGAGGCAGTGCTGGTTCCAGCTGTGACCCGAGCTAAGATGCTGAAGGCTCCCTCTCACATTCTCTCTGGAGCTGTCAGACTGTTGATTCTTTAATAAACACTTGGGAGGAGAGGTGTTGGTTTGGGAGGGGTACTCTGGACACCTCTGCATGGGGTTTATCAGAATCAAAGAGGCACAGGGTGAGTGGCTGTCACCTGTGTCGTTTTCATTACACGGTCACCTTTCACTCTGGGGTCCAAGCAGTGGACAGGAATTCGACTGCAGAGGCTGTTCCTTCCACAGCTGGATGCAGCCCAGCAGGGCTGATGAAGCAGGAGGGACTTTGGAAGGATCTGGTGGCTGAGGAAAGGGCAAGAGTTGGTGCAGGGGCTGGGGTGGGGGCCTCTCCTGCTCAGCCCACTCTTTCTGCTGTGTCTCTGCTTCCCTGCCTGTCCCTGACTCCTACCCTGTTTTCTCTCTGCAGGACCACATCCCTGTCCCTTACCAGCCAGACTCCAGCAGCAACCCCTCCTCCACGACGTCCTCCACGCCCTCCTCGCCAGCACCCCCTCTCCCTCCTAGTGCCACGCCGCCTTCTCCCCTACACCCTTCCCCGCAGTGCACACGGCAGCAGAAGAACTTCAACCTGCCAGGTACCTCCATGCTTGGGGAGATATGGGGTGTGCAGCGTTGGAGGGGCAGAGATTAGGGAGGGGGTGGGTTCACGCCACAGTCCTGATACAGCAAGTCTCTGCTGGAAGGTGACGGATTGATGACCAGAGAGGGGTAAGGAAGTATGAGGACTGACCCTTATTGTATCCTAAGCAATTACCCTATATCACTTATTTAATCTTTGGAACAGCCACAGGTAAGCATTATCAGCTCCTTTTACAGATGAAGAAACAGAGGCTCAAAGGGGTGCAGGAACTCTTAGAGACTGTGTGTTTTGGCAAGCTACAACCCAGGGTCTTCACCTAAGTCTAAGTCACAGAAGGGAACCATTGACTCTGGAGCTGACAGTTATCTTATGAGCTAAATTGGTTAAAATTGGCAGCTAGATCCTGTGCTGGAGATCTTAGGGGCACACATCTGAGCAGGGCTGCATACTGAGTCTTAACCCAGATGTGAGGACAGGGCTGTCAATGAGCAGTCTGGTCTCCTGGAGTCAAGATCCAGGTCTATCACATTCTTGCTGTGTCTCACGTCTGAAAAGATGTAGTTGGACAAGATGATCTGGAAGGTTCCTCTAGCTCAGGAATTACAAGGCACCTAGGCTGTTGACCAGGGAGTATGCACTGGGCTATGAGATGATAGTGGAGAAGCCACTCATGGGACACTGTGGCTTCTTGACCTTCTTTGTCATTAGACCTAAGAATGGGATATTTTTCTTCCTTCAGGTAGACCAGACCTAAGAATCTCCCCATCTATTCCAGGGTCCAGCCTAGCCCAGTTCCTGTGCTAGGGCCCTAAGAATGCTTCCAACTCAGTCGTATTTGTGGCACTGCAGCTGGCCTCAAGAAGAAGGCTGGTGGGACTGGCATGGCCAGTTGGAACCAGAGTCTACATCTGTGTTGTTCAATATGGTATCCGCTAGCCGTGTGTGGCTATTTACGTTTAAATGAATTAAATATAATTTAAAAATTAGCTTATTGGTTATACTAGCCACATTGCAAGGGCTCAGTAGCCACATGTGGCTGGTGGCTGCCATACTGAATGGCTCAGGTATAGAGCATTTCCATCATCACTGAAAGTTCCCTTGGTTACTCTGGTCTAGCCCCTGATTTCCTCCTGAGTCAACAAGCCTCACACTATGAAAAAAAATCCTAGGTCCTTGGCCACAGCTCACACCTCTAAGCTTAACCAGGCATGAGTGAATGGCCAGGAGGCAAATGGAGGCCCCGCCCCACACTTGGGCAGCACCCGCATGCAGCCATCCATCTGAGGACAAGCCAATCATAGCACCTGCCCACACTGTTTTCATTTGGGCTACGTCCACAGAGATGGCACATATTTTGAATTCTTGGAACTTTGGGTTTTTTGTTAAGTTCAAGTCTGAATTTAACAGCGTCATATCCGCCTTGTGTGGGGGCCACTCACCTGGCACCCACCAGGGACTGCCGTGTGAGTCACCAGCTGAATCCTCTTAGTAAGTGCCGCTGGTTCATTGCCTGGCATTTCCACAGACAGAAGGCCCCCACCGCCGTCTCCAGGGTTGTTCATTTTTACTTCTTCAGAAAGGGATGAAAGGGAAAAGAAAAGACCCTTAGACTTCCCATGACCACCCACACTTAGGGGAAGTGGGCCTGATGCTTTCCTGTAGCCACTTCACTCCCTGGAGACACTGACTTCAGGAGTATTTTCTCTCAAATTGTTTGGCACTTGTTTATGGACCAAGGGAAGGGGAAGGGCCCGTTTTATGGGAGAACTGTGCACAAAAGCACCACAACTCTTCTCATCCCTTAAAGAATCTGCTGGCGTCTCCAGACGAGAGACCTGCCTAACCCGGAGTAATCAGGGTGTCCCTTAGCTCCTTCCTTCCCTCAGCCAGAGTCTTCAAGGAGGGGTGCCTGAAAATGTGTTGTTCTAGCATGCCACCTCATTCCCCGCGCCCCCCACTCCATGGCAGGTCATGACAAGGTCCTGGCCCTCTTTGGGGGCTGAGCTAAGGGGTCCTTTGGGTAAAAGCACTTCAGCATGGCAGTTAGAGTGTGGGCTCTGCAGCCAAGCTACTTAAGTTCAAATCTCAGCTTTACTACTTCATGTCTGTGTGATGTTGGGCAAATAACTCGCCTCTCTGGGCCTCAGTGTTCTCATCTGTAAGATGGAGATTGTAATAGTACCCACCTTAGATAATTGTTTTAGAAAGAAATGTCATAATACATGGACAGAGCTTAGCAGAGTGACAGTTTCATTGAAGACCTCAACAAATCTGGGCTCCTTGGATTATTGTTAAACACGATAATAATAAAGTACAGTGGCTACCTTTATTTGCATTTCTCATTATCACTGTTAATTAATGTGGGGGCCTAGACAGAATTGTAGAATAAAAGATGAAATCCCAATGTATCTTGCCATAGGAGTATGAACTGAAGTAAACATTTGGGGAAGGTAATTTGATATTTTCTGTTAAAGTTTGTTTTGTTGTTGTTGTTTTGAGATGGAGTCTCTCTCTGTCACCCAGGCTGGAGTGCAGTGGTGCGATCTCGGTTCACTGCAACCTCCACCTCCCGGGTTTGAGCAATTCTCCTGTCTCAGTCTCCTGAGTAGCTGGAACTAAAGGTGCACACCACCACGCCTGGCTAATATTTGTGTTTTTAGTAGAGGCGGGGTTTCACCATATTGGTAAGGCTCGCCTCGAACTCCTGACCTCAGGTGATCCACCCGCCTTGGCCTCCCAAAGTGCTGAGATTACAGGTGTGAGCCACCATGCCCAGCCCTGTTAAAGTTTTAAATGTGCATTTCTTTGACCAGTATATCACTTCTATGAATGTATATACAGAAACACTTGCACTAGGGTGCAGAGATCTGTGTGTAAGGACTTCACTGTAACAGTGAAAACTGAAATTAACCCAAATGCCCATCAAGAGTGGGCAGTGAATGGTTGAATACACACATATATCCATATAACCAAATATTCTGCAAACCTTCAAAGGAATGTAGTACTCTATGTAGATTTCCTGACATGGAAAGATATCTGTAATGTTTCTCAAGTAGAAAGTAAGTGATTTGCAAAGTCATCAGTATAATATTCTATTTATTGTAAAATATTTACATACATGTATGTCTGTGTACCAGTGTGCGTATATGTGTTCACATGTGCACAGTAAAGTCTGGAAGAACTTCATGGCAGCCATTGAGGAGAGGGACTTTATCTCATGCACTTACTTCTATGATGTGTATGAGTGTGCATCCATTTTAGAATCGAATAATAAAATTTAGTGCTGAAATGGAAAACAAAATAGAACCTTTGGAAGTACAGTTGGACATACCCTGTGTCTTAGGCAGTTTTAGCAAAACAGCCCCAGGGTCATGAGTACCTGTCCTGTTTGTACAAAGATCTGGCTGGCTGTCCCACTCTTGACTGGGAGCTTCTGTTAATGAAAAATGGAACTTAGCCAGTGGGTCCCTGCCAGATGTTGAGTTTTCTGAAGGCTATTTAAGCTAAAGCTTAGGCATAACAATGTCCCCAGCACTGATTCATCTAGAACATTCTTGTCCAAAAGGGGGTGGGGGGTTGACCAGCCATTTAACTCATCTGTTAACCTCAGGACATGTGGTGAAAAGGCTGTTAGAACCCAAGCGTGGCGTGTGCAGCCTCGGTGGTATTTGTTACTGTGCACTGCCAGCTGCGTGGACCTCCTGTTAACCGCCTTTCCCTGAGTCCTGGGACCATGTTGGACATGGCCCAGTATAAGGTGATGTCAAGAGTGCTACATGGACAGACAGACCTGGGGTTGGATCCCAGCTTTGCTCCTTCCTAGCTGTGTGGCTTTGAGCATGGCATTGCCTCTGTTTAGGTCTGTTTCTCATCGGTAACATGGGGCTAACAATTCAGAGCTGTGGTGGCGACCACTATGGCAAGATAGATGAAGAGGCTTTGGAAATGATTGTCTTACGGGTTTCTGAGGCTGGAGTGCTCAAATACCTTTTTTCTTTGGAGCCACCTAGAGCCATCTTGAAACACACACACACAGACACACATACCCCCAACTCCAGGAAATGGCAAATTCTAATGGCTCAAAGGGAGAAGAAAGGAGGTGGAATCTGCCTTTGGTGGAGTTTGCAGGATTTCTGAGACCTCACTTGGGCCACTTGGACTCGTGGGAGTGTTTCCTCCCTTCCCCTTTCCATCAATCTCTCCCAAGCCTCTCTTTTACGCTCATCACTCTGTGCCATGATCTGGTTTACGTACTCATTTGTTAAGTGTCTGTCTCCTCCATCAGAATGCCAGCTGCATGAGACTAGGCAATGTGTCTTCATTCACCACTGCACACTCAAAGCCCGACACGTTGCCTGTGACTGAAGGCACTCATTAAGTGTTTGTTGAATGAATGAATGACCTGAATTTCATGCACTGCCCAGGGCTGCAGTTTTTTCTCTTCAAATTTTCTTCTTGACCCTCAGACTGTGTTCATCCATTCATTTTGTTAACAGTATTTATGAAGCATCTACTCTGTACCAGCTACTGTACTAGGCACTAGGTTTGGAGCAGTGAACAAGCCATATGTAGCCCCTGTATTCACTTCCTATTGTTGCTGTAACAAATGACCACATACTTAGTGGCTTAAAAGCACACAGATTTATTATCTTATGGTTCTAGAGGCCAGGTGTCCAAAACGGGCTTCACTGGGTTAAAAACCAAGATGTCAACAGGGTTGGTTTATTCTGGAAGGTCTCAGGAAGAATCCGTCTCCTTGCCTTTTCCCAGCATCTAGGGGCTGCCCACATTACTGTGCTTGTGGCCCCTCCTCATTCTGGCCTCTGCTTCTGTGATCACATCTCCTTCTCTGACCCTGCCTCCCTCTTCTGAGGACCCTTGTGATGACGTCGAGCCCACCCGAATGATCTAGGATAATCTCCCCACCTCAAGATCCTTAAGTAATCTCATCCAAAGAGTCCCGTGTGCCATGTAATGAAATGGATTCACAATTTCCAGAGAGTAGGACCTGAACATGCTGTGGGGGTAGGGGCAGGCATTGTTCTGCCTACAACAGCTCCAGTTCTCATGAAAAGTATAGCTGAGTGAGAAAGAAAGGTGTTAACCAAATAAACATATGCATGAAAACAGGATTATAGATTGTGATGAAGGCTGTGATGGCCACGAGTGTTTGCAAGAGTCCTTGAGCAAATGCAAGAGAACAGATTTAGGTTGGAGGGTCACTGGATGGCTGAGTCCTGCAGGCGGGGGAAGTAAGGCAAAGGCCCAGTCACAAGAAGGGGCCCAAGTGCCATAAACAAGGGAAAGTGGCCTCCAGAGAGACTCAGGGCTGCGGGGTCTGGGCCTAGCAGTATTTTAGATTTTATGTGAGACTCCATGGGATGCAGTTGAAAGGTGTAGGCAGAGAACAACTTGACCTTTCTTCCTTCCTTCTAGAAGACCACTCTGGCTGCTGTCTTGGGAGGCTTCAGGGTAGGCATGGGGGCTCTGGAGGGGAGGCTCCTTCAAAGTGGCCTGCTTGTCTCTTTGACTTCATCTGCAACCTCCCAGGTCCTGAGTCATCTTGGATGCCAGAAAGCCAGGAGCCACTGGGCTCCCCTGAGCAGCCCACTCAAGGTCACCAGCTGTTCTTTAGAGCCACTTCTTGATGGTGTCTGTCATCAGCAGGAAGAACAGGTCTCCCAACAATGTCTTTCCTCCTCTTCTGGCCACGTGTTTCCCTTTCAGTCACCAGGAACGAGTTGTTCCATGGCACATGGGGAGGAGTCAAGGAGGGCGTTGGCTTCGGGTGTGGAGGCATTTGCTGGTGTCCCGTTGCCTGACACCTGTCCCTTCTCGGACTCTCTGAAGCTGCTCCTGCTCTCCATTGCCCAACAAGAACATAGCTGTCAGCGAACGTTTTCTACAGACACTGAATCCCCCATCACTGTCAGAGCTGGGGAGGGAAAAGGTCAGCCAAGCCTCTTAAGAGCCTCGGGTAGTTTTCCTGTTTTAATTTTAGCCCCTTGTTGACTAATAAAATAGTTGCATGCAATGAAAAACTCATGTTATCTAACAGTAAAACGGTCCCTGAAATCATGGAGGGTGCTTTTCTTTTAAAGCTTTGCTCTGTGACCTCGAATAAGTTGCTTCTTGCCCTGGACATCTCATTTTCCAGAATCAAAAATGCATCCATCTGGACTCCAACTATTTGATACAATCTGGAATTGGACTAAGCCCAAGGTTTTTGCTGTTTCATCTATGATAAAGAGAGTTGATTAATTCAACAAATGTATGGTGCATGCTGACTGGTGCAAGGCACAGAACTAGGAGTTTGAGGTCCTGTGATAGTAGGATTTACTCCCTATCCTGAAGGAATCTATCAGTAAATTTCAACCTCAGGGAGAGTGTTCCGTCTGCTTCCCCAAGGCAAAACATTTAGTTAGCACTTGGAACTATGTGATTGTCTCTTAGCTATAAATCATTCTTGTCTATTAGTTAAGAGAGCTTAGAAATGTGTTTATTTATCTCAAAGCTAATACTAATTCGGCACCTTGAATACACTTTTATCTTGTAGTGATGGTCCTTGCCCTTTGAGGAAGGGACTGTTATTATCCTCATTTTACACATATGGGCAGTGAGACTTGGAGTCTCTACAAATAGCCAAAGGCAGAGCAAATATTTGACCATTCAGGATCAGCTTCTAGACTCCAGGCTCTGAGCTACTGTGCTAATATTTGATTAAACAATTCCAGTGGTGGCTTGTCCCTGAATGTCATCGCATTGTTTCTGGAAGTGGATTCACCAATACAGACTCATCTGACTATATCCCTGCCCTCTTCATTTACTTGAGGACACAAAGCTCTGTGTCCCCTGCCCCCAACACCCCTTGACCCCCTATTCCAGGCACTGTTCCCCAATGGAGTATTAGCATGTTAGAAACCTTTAAGTGTCCAAGACTCCTGGCCTCTGGCGAGTAGATTAGAAGTAAAAGGAATTGTCAGGGAACCAGCAGTGAAGTCCAGAAAATTTATTTTATGTAACTTTTTCCTAAATACAGAAGTTAATGCATACTTGTGGTAGGTAGAATAATTCCCAAAAGATATCCATGTCTTGATCTCAGAATCTGGGAAGATGCTGCTTTAAAGGACAGTAGGAACTTTGCAGATGTAATTAAGTTATGGATCTTGAGATGAGACGATTATCTTAGCTTATCTGGGAAGTCCTTAAATATAATCACAAAGGTCCTTATCAGAGGGAAGCAAGAAGGTCAAAGGCAGAAGAAGGAGATGGCACAACAGAAGCAGAGGTTGGAGTGATGGAGCCGTGAGCCAACAAATGCAGGCAGCCTCAAACAACTGGAAAAGACAAGGAATCGATTTTCCTGGAGCCCTCAGAAGGAACTAAGCTTGACTTCAGCCCTGTAAGACTTATTTCAGACTTTTGTCCTCCGGAACTGTAGGAGGATACATTTGTGTTGTTTTACTAAGTGTGTAGTAATTTGTTACATCCACAAAAAAAGAGAAAACTGGTACGATGCTCATTGCAGAAAATTAGGAAAGTACAGAAAAAGCATAAAGGATTTTTTAAGCCACTGTAATCATTCTGCCAAAAGGGGGAAAAATTAATATTTTGGATTATGGCTTTGTAGGCTTCTTCTGTGTGTGTGTGTGTAATTATGCATTTCACAAAAATGGTATTGTAGTCAGAATGTCTGTTTGAGTTGGAGCAGTCTGATTTTAGGGAGTGTGAGATATCAGATGGGAGGGTTGGCATGGATGTTTAGAGTTCTGGTTTCTTTACACATGTTTGCAGTCCTTTGTCTGCAGAAGTGTGAAAACTCTTGAAGGTGGGCAGAGAATGACCATGTGGTGGCCATAAGAGCTCAGTTTGGTCCGTGAAGGGACATCTCCTTGGGGACACTCACTCTGATGTTTTCTTTCTTTTGCAAGCATCCCACTACTACAAATACAAGCAGCAGTTCATCTTCCCAGGTGAGTTTCATGTGGGCTGGAAGCAGCCCCTTCTGAACAAGCCCTGCTGCGTTGCAGGAGTTGCTGGGATGAATGGAGGCAGATGTTGTGGGGGTGCCTAAGATCAAAGAGGGTGGTAGTGGAACCATCACACTCCAGGATAATGGCTGAACATGGGAGTGGAAAAGAAAGAGTGGGAAGTCCTAAGGGCACAGTGGGACCCAAGGAGGTCCCAAGGCGCCATGGAAAGGCCTGAGAGGGTGGAGTGCCGTGGAACAATGGGCAAGGGTGAGGAGGGGTCTAGAGCCATGTGGCAGGGAAGAGATGGTCATAGGGTCCTGAGCTGGGTACTGAGAAGATGTGAAACCAAGGGGCCTTATCATACCAGAGGGAACCCAGGAGAAAGGAAGATTCAGAGATGATCAGTCAATGCTTTAGGCTGGATGCTTGAGGGTTCTGGCAGCCCCCTACTCAACAATGAGGAATTTTGTGGAGGATGTCATCCAGAACCCTGGTCCAGCTGAGCAGGTAGAGTCCAGGTGGTCCAGGAAAGGAGAAAGGAGATTGGCCAAGGGAAGAGATCCAAGATCTGGTGAAAAATTAGCTACCATGTCACCCAGGAATCAGGCCTTTGTGAGGGTTGTGGACTTCACATTTGTTTTCTGAATGTCCCATCTCTGGTTTTCAGATGTGGTGCCGGTGCCGGAGACGCCGACCCGGGCGCCCCAGGTCATCCTGCATCCGGTGACCTCGAATCCAATGTAAGTGGGACAGAGACATCTTCCCCCTTCTCCGAGATTCCCAGCCCTGGCCCTACAATCCACTCCGGTTCCCTATCTTCTTTCCTCCTCTTCCTGGAACTGATGGAGTTGGGGGCAGAGGGAGATGTACAAGGGGTACAGAGAGACACAGGGAATAACTTAGGCAAAGAAAGAACGTAAGAGCTCAGGCAGAGAGAGGCAGTGCTGTTCCTCACGAGCAGCTATGCCTTGTGTCTCTGCCCCTGCCTGTCAAATGCATTTTCCAGGGGCTGGACCGTTTCCTAAGGACCTATAACACCCCTATGATTAGGAAGACAACTTTCCCCAGGCGATAGTTAGGGCTTAATGAAAGGGCAATTATTCCATGTCACTGAACATGGAATAACTTTTGAAAGTCTCATTTAGGTTTATACCAGGAATCAGCAAACTATAGCCCATGGGACAGATCCAACCTCCTGCTTGTTTTTATATAAAGTTTTATTGGAACACAGCATGCCTGTTTGTTTACAATGTATTGTGCAGGCTTGCTTTCTCAGTGTAACAGCGGAGTTAAGTAGTTGCAATAGAAACTGTAGGGCTTGCAAAGCCAAAAATATTTACTCTATGACCCTTTGCAGAAAGAAATTTGCTAACCTCTGGTTCATATTATTGTAAAACTAATATAAGCTAATTTTGGAAAATTTGGACTATTCATTAAAAAGGGAAAGGCAAAATAATCGCTCATGATCTCACCACTGTTAGAACTTCTATGTGTGTTCTTTCCATTTATATTTTACATAGTTATGACCCACAAGATATGCAAGCAGTTACCATCCTGCTTTGTTATCTTTTTGCTGAATGTCACATTTTATGAATATTATTTTAGCCTCTCCATAGACATTGTTGGTTCTTGGTTTTTGTTTGTTTATTTTTTGAGACAGAGTCTCACTCTGTCACCCAGGGCTGCAATGCAGTGGCACGATCACAGCTCACTGCAGCCTCAGCCTTCTGGGCTCAAGTGATCCTCCCAGCTCAGCCTCCTGAGTAGCTGGGATTACAGGTGTGTGCCACCACATCCAACAAATTTTTTTTTTTTTATTTTTGTAGAGACAGGGATTTGCCATGTTGCCTAGGCGGGTCTCAAACTCCTAGGTTCTAGCGATCCTTCCACCTCAACCTCCCAAAGTGCTGGGATTATAGGCATGAGCCACCACACCTGTCCGACATTGTTTTTAATGGCTGTAAAATGACATATGATGTAGAATAATTTTCTTAACCATTTTCCTATTGCCAGATTTTACATTGCTTCCCATATTTCACTGTTGTAAATAATGCTGCAATGAACATCTTTGTGCATAGCATCCTTTGGAAACAGACCCTCTTTCCAGGTGGTTTATTGCTTGTGCAGCAGAAGTGAAGTCACCTTGGCCAGGTGCAGTGGCTCACGCCTGTAATCCCAGCACTTTGGGAGGCCGAGGTGGGAGGATCACCTGAAGTCAGGAGTTGGAGACCATCCTGGCCAACCCGGTGAAACCCTATCTCTACTAAAAATACAAACATTAGCCAGGAGTGGTGGCACACAACTGTAATCCCAGCTACTCGGCTACTCGGGAGACTGAGGCAGGAGAATTGCTTGAACCCAGGAGGTGGAGGTTCAGTGAGGTGGGATTGTACCACTGCACTCCAGCTGGGCAACAGAGGGAGACTCTGTCTAAAGAAAAAAAAAGTAATAACCACAAAGTCACCTCCTTAACTTCTTTGGTTGTGATGGAAGCCTGGGGCTTGCTAGGATTTGATCAGTTTCCCAACTCACCTTTTGCCTACTTAGTTTTTCTTCTGGGTCCCCTAACTGCTTCATCTTTTCTGACTGGTCTTAAGGACTTTATAAAGACTTACATGGTACATCTCTGAAATCAAAGGAGTAGCAACTTGCCGGGGGATATGGTGCTGACATCTAGCTTCGGATCATTTCTCTGCTTCACATAAACCAATTCTACAATTTGTGCAAGATGAACTCCAGGTTATTAACTGACAGTCCAGAAGTACCAGCGAAAAACAGTCAATAGCTGCTTGTGATCTGCTTAAATGTGTGTGGAGTGATGGCAACTCTTTGCAGAGGGAAATAATTGAATAGCCCTGGCTGCTGGAATCACGCCTTGATGCAGAGAGGAGGGTGGCCTGTTTTGGTTTGGGGCATGAGGAGGGACTCCAGCTGCATTGTCCCAGCCAAGTTCCCCCCAGGGCATCAAGTTCCCAGCATGTCAGCTGTCATCGTGCAGGTTCATTCCACTTTCCCAGGCTGTGCTATGAATAATTGGTTAATACCATGGCAAATGCCACTTTGGGATTGACCTTTCTTTCTCCTTCTTTTAGTTCTTGTGGTCTTTCAGACTCTCTCTCACCAGGACCCCCTCCAGCAAGTGGACTGACTCTGTGGAGCCAGCCACTTCCTGCGATCTGAGGGTCAGGGTATGGGAGGTTCCCCAGATGAGGAGGGGGAAGGGAGGATCCACTGGGGAAATAGGAAAGGAGGGGTGGGGTATTCATTGTGACTCTTTTTTCTCACCTGTCTCAGCTCCTCCATGCCTTCAACAGCCCCATTCTGTCTCCCTGCTGCACTTCAAAAACACGTACACATCCTCAAGTCTAAACCCCACAACATACCTCTAATGCACACTGTGCCCAACATCCATGACATGTTAAATGTCACATGCATTTGACAGTCCACTCACACCTCTAATGCACACCCAATTATAGCATCAGCATACAGCATCCGCCTCGACATCCTGTGTGTACACCCAACTCACATGCACACAAGACAGCCCTGCACAAAGCACATCCCGTAATACCTATGCAGTGCTCACACAAACACATTGTGACGCCCTGCCAGCATCTATACCCAAAATGTTTGCTTCCTAAGAACAGAACTGCAGCTCATGAGCTTGTGAATGCATCACTCACACACACACACACACACACACACACACACGTCTTCCAGTTCAATATGGTCTTTTTATTTTCATTCCACACATCCTCATTCCATGTGATTGGCAAGGCCTACCTCAAACATTGGGAACTTTCAAATACACCCAGTAATTCTCTCGTCTTGGAATTCCCACCACACTCCATTTATCCAATTCATACCTAACTTTTGGCCTTGTTACTTTTAGCCTCTCTGCATAGTATCTACATACTGGCTTTAGTTCCTTCAGTAGGAACACAATATTCCTTAAGGTCAGAAGCCATGCCAGTTTCAATTCTATATCCCTCCAAGGGCCTAACACTGTTCCTGGCACACACATCTATTCAATAGTCGCATGAATGCATGAATGAACAGACAAACAAGAACACTGAGATCCTTCCAACAAATTCCAAATTTGTGTGAACTTCGGAGATCTGATTAATTCTTTCCTGGCAAACATATAGAGCTCTGAGGACTTGTCTACCCAGGGCGTTTAGGCCAGTTTATAAGAAAGCTGCTAGATTAGTTGAAACCAAAGCAATAAATAAAAATGAGCCCTGAGCAGCCCAGAAAATCAACTTAAAACAAGGTCCTGGCACACTGTGTTTTTGTGTGTGTGTGTGTGTGTGTGTGTGGCGAGGTTATGGATTATTTCAGACACACGTGTTGAAATGAAATGTGAGATAAAGGCTTGGTGGTGAAGACTTCCCATCTGGGGATTCTTCATACAAAGCTAAACTCAGTATACAGACCTACCTTTTCACCTAGGGATCACGTTTCTTTTTCTTTCTTTACAGCTTGGAAGGAAATCCATTACTTCAAATTGAAGTGGAGCCAACGTCGGAGGTGAGAATCAGAGAGCAGTGTAGCGACATTTTCCAGGGGCTGCCCAGAACTTGGCAAAGCCGACTGACGTTTTGGATGACGCAGAGGGCTTGGGGTCAGATTGGGGCTGTGGTGGCCCTGACCGATGGATGTTCTAACTCTGGGACATTTAGCAAGCGGTGGCCCCTCCTAGCACTGAGCCTAATGGGCCATTATATGGCATGCATCATGGAAAAGCCAGTTGTGCGGAAATTGTCAAGAGATTTGCATTCTTAGTTGAAAGATCAGCTCACAGCCGGGTGACTACCAAGGGGGATGTGCCCTGCTGCCTTCAAAAGAATATGTGGGAGGAGGTGGGGGCCTCAGGGATGCCGGGCTTGGAAGTGTTGGGAATGCGCTGGGGCTTCTTCCCACCTGCCTAAGCGGCTGCAGAAATACATAAAATGCCCTGGCTGGAAACCATGGAGTCCTGGCCCCTCAGCTCTGCCACTGCACTGTGTCTTGTACTGAAAGGAATCGAGTCAGGGCTTCCAAGGAAAATCGTGTTCTTTTCTGGGACTGTTTTGGTTGTTGAAATATGATCCTGGGAGAAACTGATGTCTCCTGTATTGTTTCTCCTGAGTGTGCCAAGGAGGGCAGCTTGCTCAGGTATTCTGGGTCAGGAAGACCTGTACCCACTCCAGAGGCTACCTTCTCAGGCTATTTCATCAGGTCCCAGGGTCTCTGGGAATCCCTGCTGGCCCTGGCCCCTGCTGCTCCTACAATGCTGCAGGAGAATCCAAGAGGCAGTTCACCCCAAAGCACCCCTAGATATCATGCTGATAAGGTAGGTCCCTACACCTCGAGCATTTAACTCTAGTGGTAGTCACGCCGAAGTATGCCTGAGTCATGTGGGTGTGCATGGTAAAAATGCAGATTCCCGGTCCTGGTCTGCTGATATTTTGATCCAATAGTGCTGGGTGGGGCCCAGGAATCTGCATTTTCTCGGGCCTCCCACTGGGTGTTTAATACAGGTGGTCAGTTCTGTACTAAGAACTTAACAGGCCTTCATCTAAAACCTCACACTGCTCCTGGGGCAGATTTTCTTACCCCCACTTTACAATGAGGAAAGGCAGCCTCAGGGAAGTAAAGCAACTGGCTCAAGGTCACACAGAGGTGAGATTTCAGCTCGCTTTGTCTGATTGTTAAGCCCATTCTGTCAACTCCTCACTCTCATGTCTCCTACCTTCCCAGCTGCTGTAGGAGCCCCAAACATCTAGCTTGTAGCTCTGACCTCTCCCAATTTTTGAATCATCAATTCCAAACTCCCTGGGGGAAGCAAAAGATACTCTGTGTTGGCAGTTGTCACGTGTTACCTGCAGATGCATGGTGTACCCGTTGTTTTAGCCTGTCTAGCCTGTCAACTTTATCACATGCACATAAACAGCCAAACCAAAAGACTATGGAAGAATAGGAAGGGCATCGGATATTCAAGTCCAGAGACCTGGATCTTAGTCTCTCCTCTGCCTGGCTGCATGACCTGGAGTGAGTCACTTCCCAGGGCAACACATGGGACTTTCGGTGCTAAAACCAGGAAGATTCCAGCAAACTGGAATGGGTGATCCCCATAACACTTCTCTCTGAGCCTCAGTATCCCCCCATTTAGCACAACAGAGGTGGATGATCATGATCTCCCTTTCAGCACCTTCACTGTAGTATGATTCTAGACCAGATTCTAGACCTGGGGAAACAGAGGGACGTGTGTCTGCACCAGCTCCAGATGCATGTAGAGATGTGTCCAGACCTACGCATGCGCACGGGACCCAGCAGGACCATGAGGGAGGCTGGGGCAGTGGCAAACCCAATTCTGACCTCTCTCCCACTCCGGCCACAGAATGAAGAGGTCCACGATGAGGCCGAGGAGTCAGAGGATGACTTCGAGGAGATGAATCTGTCCCTCCTCTCGGCCCGGAGCTTCCCACGCAAGGCCAGCCAGACCAGCATCTTCCTTCAGGAGTGGGACATCCCCTTTGAGCAGCTGGAGATCGGTGAACTCATTGGAAAGGGTCGCTTTGGGCAAGTGTACCACGGCCGCTGGCACGGCGAGGTGGCCATCCGGCTGATTGACATTGAGAGGGACAACGAGGACCAGCTCAAGGCCTTCAAGCGGGAGGTGATGGCCTACAGGCAAACGCGGCACGAGAACGTGGTGCTTTTCATGGGCGCCTGCATGAGCCCGCCTCACCTGGCCATCATCACCAGGTCAGTTCCACCTGGGCTCCCACCCAGGGATTGGCAAACTCTGCTTCTGGCATGGTTGAGAAATGGTTTTCTGCTTACTTGACCGCTCTGGTTAATAGACCATCTCCAGTTCTACCATGTACAGTTTACTTACATGGTTTAAGACTTAAGATTCCAGAAAATACTTAATTTATTTATTTGTTTTTTTAGAGACAGGGTCTCCCTCTGTTGCCCAGGCTTAAATGCAGTGGTATGATCATAGCTCACTGCAGCCTTGAACTCCTGGACTCCAGAGATCCTTTTGCTTCAGCCTCCCAAGTAGCTGGCACTACACGTGTGTGCCATCACACCTGGCTCATTTTTTATTTTTTTGGTAGAGATGAGGTCTCGCTATGTTGCCCAGGATGGTCTCAAACTTCTGGCCTCAAGCACTCCTCCTGCCTTGGCCTCCCAAGTGCCGGAATTACAGGCCTGTAAGCTACCATGCCTAAACCCAGAAAGTACTTTTAATGCTAAAACTCTTTAGCAAAACCAAAGAGTACTAAATGGAGAATCAGAAACATCGGGTCTTGCTCCCCCTGTATTCCAAGTATTTGTGTAACAGCTTCTCAAAGAGTCACTTTCTCCATATGTGAAATGAGTATATTCGACTAAATCAGGAGTCAGCCAGCTTTTTCTGTAAGGGGCCCAATAGTAAATATTTTCAGCTTTGTGGGTTGTACAGTTTCTGTAGCAGCTACTCTGCTCAGCCACTGTAGTCTGAAAGCGGCTATAGACAATCTGCAAATGAAATTGCAGAGCTGTGTTCCAATAAAAGTTCATTTACAAACCCGGGGAGTGGGCTGTATTTGGCCCATGGGCCATAGTCTGCAGACCCCTGATTAAGATTTTTTTCTTTTTGAGATGGAGTTTCACTCTTCTTGCCCAGGCTGGAGTGCAATGGCGCGATCTCGGCTCACTGCAACCTCCACCTCCCGTGTTCAAGCGATTCTCCTGCTTCAGCCTCCTGAGTAGCTGAGATTACAGGCATGCACCATCATGCCCGGCTAATTTAGTATTTTTAGTAGAGACAGGGTTTTGCCATGTTGGTCAGGCTGGTCTTGAACTCCTGACCTCAGGTGATTTGCCCGCCTTTGCCTCTCAAAGTGCTGGGATGACAAGCATGAGCCAAGATTCTGGTAACTATTATTCTGGTTTTCGTGAAAGTTGCAGAGCACATTTGCAGTCTTTACCATTGTAGTTTGGAATATCCAGGATCTGTGGTCTTTGGGTACACAAAAGGGATAGTTCATAGAGAACTAACATTGTGAAAATGTTTCTTGAACTTTCTCAGATTTGCTCTCTGGCCTCTCCCAGAGGCTTAAGGCACTGGGGGAAAAATAGCTTTGGTTTTGATGAAACAGTTGTGAAACAATCCTTTGGTTTGTTTTCAAACTCTGGCACTGGCTCCCCTGTAACATTAGGACTGGCCTCTGCAGTGGCATTCTTAGTATGATCTGTGATGCCAAGGGCCCGTTAGGAGCTCTCTCCTTCCTCTACTCAACTCAAGCAGTGAGACCCCAAATGCACAAGTCTTGCATCTTAGCAGGCGCAGAGCAGATGCTGTGGGCTCAGAGAAGAGCTGGTGTGTCTTTGATCTCCTCCCTTGTGAGATAAAACCTCCTTGAGTCCACTTATAAGAACTTGGTGATTGTTAGAAGGTGCATTATATTCTGTATCCGTAGATAATGCAGATGGTGGGTTGACCGGAGTGACTCGTGCTTTGAATGATAAGCGCTGGTGAAAGATTGGGGATCTAGGGATGGGCCTCCAAGCCTCCTTAAATCAGGATAAAAATGGTGGTTCTCAATGCTGCACAAGGCAGAGAAGTGGCTCTGAAGAAATCAGCCCAGGAATCTTCAGGGGCTGAGCTGTTTTGAGTGTAAGCTTTTGCTGAGTAACTACACCACAACTTGGTGGTTTCTCTGTATCCTATGGACAGTTCTGGGCTTAGCCAGACTGAATAGCTGGGCTCTTGTAGTTGGCTGTGGTCAGCTCTGGGTCAACAAGGGGATAGTCAGTCTTAGATGCCCTCCTTTGTGTGTCTGCTGGTTGGCAGACTGTCAGGGGATATCCCCAACAGCCGAGCTCAGGCTCATTCTCATGGCGGTCTCAGGTTTCCAAGTGCAGCGAGAGGTCAAGACCTACATCTGTTGGCCAAAGAAACTCCTATTCTCCCCTAGATTCTAGGTATGGAGACACAGCCTCTACTTCTGAATGGGAAGATCTGCAATGTCCCGCTGCAAGGATGTGGCTGCAGGTTGGGGACAATCTGTGGCTATTTTTGCAATCTACTGCAGAGAGACCTTAGCTCCCTTTCCTTCCCTTTCTTACCCAGTATATATCCTCATCTTTTAGCAGCAGTCAATAGCCTATTACTTGGGACACACAAGTCTGGTTGAAGGGTGATCTTTTCCCCACCCCTGGCCTTCTCTCTATTGCTCCCATCTTAAACTCTTATCCCGTCTTTCTCTCTGGTCAGCTCCTCACCACCCTCCTGCCTCCTGGTTCAGCATTATCTATGGAGCCTAATCCCCATGGCTCCCTCACCCCCTCCTCAAAGGCTAGCAAGTTGGAAATAGACAAACTCAGCAGCCATCCTTGAAAAACGAGTGGTCATTATGAAAATGTGTTGCTCATCCTGCAAGCCAGCTGCATTTGCGGCCCTCTTCTATTATGTACAAAATTCTGAGCCCCCCTCCCCAAGCGCCATAACTGCCTACAGATTTCACAAATAGCCCAGCCTTTTCCTGGCACCACGATAAAGACTCTGCAGCTTTGGGACGTGTAATTGGTCTCTGAAGTGTTTTGGTATTTTGTGTGAGGATGCCAGATGAGCCCCAGAGAAGTGGCATTGATTCCATATTATTGTGTTGTTATATATTTATCTTCGGGAGGGCCTCTGTGCATCCCTCTCTCTGTTCAGCACTGTCCACTTGTTGGCTCTCCAGGTTTCTTATCTGCACGTTCAGTTTGAAACCAAATATTTGAGTAATTTGATTAATCACTTGCATTCGCATGATTGGCTGGCAGAGGTTGATGGCTGGACGATAGCCAACCAACTGGAAACATTTTTGGACCCTAGATTTATTTTACAGGGAACATAAGACCAGATAATTACCTGGCATATTCTGGATCAATTCACAATGGCACATTCTAGCCAATTACTTAGTAATTATCATCGAAGTTAACAAGTATTTCTAAGATTAGCTTCCTTGCAATGCAATATGTGTGGCTCTTGGGGAATGAGTAATAACCAACTAGTTACCCAATTGCTGTAGCCACAAATGCTATTAGCAGCAGGATTGCTAAATTGTTTCACAATTGGGTCATTATGGGATTATTGCAAAGCTATTGACAGTCTGCACAATCACTCATGTGAAAAACTCCAAGTGAAATCTGAAAGCCAGTAGAGTTGAGTGAAAGTGTCTCTCACCCTTCTACCTTGCTATCTAGAGTTTCATAGGCCTCAGTTTCTCCTTCTGTAAAATGAGCAGGTGGAAGCGGATGTTTGTTGCAGTGTCCTGCCAACTCTGACAGTATTCTTTGCTTGTCTGATAATGAGCTGTGTTTGAGAAGCAGCTGGGAACAGGTCTGGAACAATGCATCTCAAAGATGGTGTACCTGGACCTTCCTGCACCAGAGTCATAGGAGAAGAAAGTTGTAAAACTGCAGATTCCAGAAAAAAGACTGTGATGGTGGCAGGTGAGGGCAAAGGGGAGAAGGTGAGGGTAGAGAAGCTGTCAGGAGCACGACTGGAGAGAGCAGGGGTTCTCAAGCCTGGTGGAGGAAGGGGAGCTTTTAATACAGTAACGGTGCCTGGCCCTGCCCCAGAGCAGAGTCTGCCATCTTCAGCACTGCTGATATTTGGGGTGAGAAAAGCCTTTGTGGTGGGGGCTGTCCCATGCACTGTAGGGTGTTTGGTAGCACCCCTGGCCTCTACTCACTAGATGCCAGTAGCACCAAGCCCCAAGGTGTGACAACCAAAAATGCCCCCAAGACATTGTCCAGAGTGCAGGGGACTCTGCACTGGCAAACTCTGTGTTATGAAGGTCACCATATTAGGGTTGCCGTTTTGACAGTGGGTGAGGCTCTGAACCAGCAGAAGCCAAGCCATGCTAGGTGACATAGCTGAGCCTTTTTGCTGAAATCAGTTCCCTGGTTGTGGGGTAGAACCAAGTCAGAGCCCTCAAAAATAAACCAAAAAAGCCGCAGATTCCAGCAGCTTTCAGCAAGTGCTTTTCTTCAGGTCAGGCATGATGAGGTTCTCCTGTTTATCCTTGTGCCTATTTTACAGGTGAGAAAACTGAGGTCAGAAAGGCAGGGGGAACCCTTACCCAAATCATGGAACAAATAACTGGCAGAACTGGGAATAAGCAAATGTCTATCTGAATACTAGTCTAGTAGTAGGTTCCTTCTTTGCCAATGGCTGCCTTAGCTAGGTCAAGGGGAATGGGCTTCATCTGCGAGCACTTTTGTGGCACAGAGATTCTGCATTTTTGGTCATATCACAATCACCTGGAGAAATTGGTAACAATTCAGGGCGGAGGCCCCATCCTACTTCAATTAGCTTGGACCTCTATCCTTTTTAGTAAGTACCAGAGCATTTTGTTCACGCCACAGTTTAAGAACCACTGGCTTACTAGAACTGAGTTTCATTTTTGTAGCTTCGATTTTCTGGTGTTTATGTGCTTCTCCAATACCCTGTAAATTCCTGTGGCACCAGCATAACCATGCTCAAGCACACGTGCACACACACATGTACACACACACACGTGCACACACACACACTCGCTCCTCTTCCATATAAACCCTAAATTACACGCCAATTATCTTCTTTCTCTCCTGTTCTCTTTCCCGCGTCCCCTCAGAGAAATGCACATACTCTATCTTTCCCTGTAAAACTCATTCCACAAATATTAGCAAGTCACAAAACTGCTCTGCAGAACTCACAGAACATACAGTCTCTCACAGAAGCCCCC